ATTATAAATATAAAGTTTATTTTTTCTTTATCAAATTCATATACAAATTTAAATACATATTAAAATTTTAAAACAATGTAACTTATTTTACAAAAGCTTATAATTAAATGTTATAAATATAATCTTATTTATTTAATAGTATTGTAATAAAAAAATATAGATTATATATTTGTTAAAACCAAATTAGTAGAAGGGGTATGGTTAACGATCTATATAAGTTGGAAAAATAAAATATATTAAGAATATATTTTTTAGGGTAAAAATAAAATAAAAAATAGAATAAGGTTGACGATTTATCTTATTTTTTAGGGGGTGTTTGGCTAAGCTTTTTAAAACAACTTATTAGGTTCCACACCACTATAAGTTAAAAAAGTGTTTTGATGAAAATAACTTATTCCGGTGGAGAACTTTTAATAAGTCATTTTTTTATAAGTTACCCTATACTTACTTATTAACTTATAAGCTAATAAGTTATAAGCTAAATAACTTATTGCGGTGGAGAACCTTTAATAAGTCATTTTTTTATAAGTTACCCTACACTTACTTATTAACTTATAAGCTAATAAGCTAATAAGTTATAAGCTAATAAGCAATAAGTTTTTTTTGCCATACACCCCCTTACTCCAGAGTTTAGAAAAGGGATAATGACTTAGGAGGGTAATTAGGTTTCCAGTTTGTCCGTATTAGGTCACTAAGGTTTTTTTTGTGCATATTAGACCAATATTGTTGTTATTACCGTTTAGAAATAGTCCTTTTTACCGGTTTCTTCCTGTTAAACCGGTAAAAAAGACTATTTTTAAACGGTAATAACAACCATATTGGTCTAATACGCATAAAAAAAAACCTTAGTGACCTAATACGGACAAACTGGAAACCTAATTACCCTCCTAAGTCATTATCCCTAATTATTTAGAGAACATGCTTACTAATCAATGTGACTGACTTGTTTGACTAAAAAATAGTTGCTTCCATTTAAACTTATCACACAACCCTTCCAGAATTTCCAAGTCCAAAAACTCATATGTAACGCCCGTAGATCCGGGCTAGTCAATTTAGAGATAATAGGGGTCGAAAACGAATTTTCAAGTATGTCGTTACCATCGTTTCGGTAATGACTAAGAAGATTGTTGTTATTCCGACCCTAGTGGTTATATCGAATTGAATCCGACTAAGACGAGTATGTTACATGGTTCAGAGAACCAAGTCCGATGTAGCAACTGAGTTAAGCCGGCAGAATTAATCAAAGCGATCAGTAGAGGTATCACGACGGTTGCTTGTAGCTAGAAATGCTACCTTTTAAGATGAGATTAGAACATGAAGGAAAGTATAGTCTGTTCTGGAAGACTCTAAGATACCTGATTCTAAGCGTTGCAACATACGATGATAGGTCATTAGAATATGACACATCGTTCCATTGTAGAAATAAAAGAACTTATCTTAAGTTCGTATCCAGTGAGGATCGAGATTGTGACTTGAAGGTCATAATTTGGAGTCTAACGTAAGACAGGGAGCAAGTGCAAGATCGAGCACCGTTGCAGTCAAGGAGTCCAAGAGTTAGATACTCATTTGAAGAAACAAGGAAGTTACGATTATTACCTAGGATGAAGAGATAACGTATGGAGTCATTATACTGCCATGTTTCGTTGATGATTCCGGGACGTAATCATCCTAAGGGGGAGATAATTGTAACGCCCGTAGATCCGGGCTAGTCAATTTAGAGATAATAGGGGTCGAAAACGACTTTCCGACAAAAGATTATTTAGAATAAAAAATCTTAACCGAGTTGTAGAATATGTCTCAAAGGTTCCGTACATATAAAGAACGCCGAAATCCGAGTTATAACGAAGAAGTTATGGCCCGTCGAAGTTTTTCGGCAAAACCGACACGGCACCGGGAGACGTAAATAGTGAATTTACGATAGAAGACTTTTTAGACTTAGTGATATAAACAAAAGTTGTAGTATATGTTAAACCGATAACATACAAAAAAAAGAACGCCCAAATCTGACTTCGTATGAGGAAGTTATGAATTTTCTAAGATTTGGCATAACAGTGCACGACCCGAAACTCGAATTTTAGTTCGAGCGGTTTTTGGACTACGCGACCTAAATTAGAGTTGAAGATCTCATTAATAGGAACTCAACGATAAAAAGACAGACGAAAACGGAGTCCGTATGTAGAAGTTATGAATTTTACGCGGACATTTAACAGTATAATCTCCTCCTACTGTTAAATTTAATATCGGTCGAGAATTCGCCGATGGAGTCTAAATGAAAGTTGTAGATATTGTTTTTACCTACGCGTGGATATAAAGAACGTCGATAACGGAGCTCGTATGCGAAAGTTACGGGGTTTAGAAGTCGGCAGAGTGTTGTGCAAAATCGGGTGACGTGGCTGAATATGGGCCAATGCTTTCTCCCCAAGAAAAGCCATCGGGTGATGACACATGGCACTGACTCGGCGAGTCAGTGACCCGACTCGGCGAGTCCATCAGGATTTGGCCCTATAAATAGAGGTGTCGGGTTCTCTCATTTCTCACACCTCTCCTCTTCAACTTTCTCTCTCTACACTCTCTCTCTAAGGGTCCCAAACCCCCCAAAAAGCCTAGGGAAACCCTAGCACGAGGCGGAAGCCCCGGAGTGCCTGACGGCTCCGAGAAGAAGAGCCTTTCGGCTCGGAAACGCTGCTCCAAGCGAAGCCCGGTTTTCTATAAAACCCGCTGTAAATGAGCTACGTCTACGCTATTTTTAATATAACTTTTATTTAATTATAGTAACATTATTAGGACCTTAAAATAATTATTTGGGCTATTATTATGAGTTATATAGAGTGTTGTTTAACGCTTATATAATAGTAATAATAGCTAGACAATTAATTAGTCGCGGTTAACGTTAGACTAAACCCTAGTGGTATTGATACTAGGTTTTGTCAAGGGAAAAATTGTTTTAGGATAACGAAGCGTTGTCCGAGTACCGAGTCACCACCCTAACAGGTGAGTGCATAGTTACTTTCATCTTACACATAGATATGAAGTATTTAATATAAATTACATACTATGTGTGCATATTGTCTGTATACTTGTCGTCTATGCTGGGTGAAGGATTTCTATACATGTATTAAATGATTTAAACTGTATATGTATTTTATATCTACAAAATGTGTTGGGTAAAATATGGGTAGATGAAATAGTTGCTGTGTGACAAAAATAAAATGATGAGAGGTGATATAGACCATGAGATAAGGGTGAGATGTGAACCATGAGAGAAGCCTTTTACCCAAGTGTTGGCCCCGTCATCTAGCAGAGTATGGATAACAACCATGGACTATTCTAGACAGTCCAGTGGAACATTAGCAGGCTCGCAACCTGTAGGTGTTATTTGAACTGTGTATTCACTAACTGTACTCTAAAAACCCATTGACATGTATTGCGAGTGGATTCTCGGAAACGATACTGTCAATAAACGAGATAACCCTGACAGCTATGAATTTAGTGCCTGATGAGCAAACCCTGGAAACTATGGATTTAGTGCCTGTTGAGTAGACCCTGGCAACGATGGATTTCGTGCCTATTCCTTAGGATAATCCTTAGGAAAGAATGAACGAGGAATAGCTAATTCTTAGGGTAAATCCTCAAGAGTAAAGAAGATAATGGGGATGGGTAACTGGGTTAATTGTTTGATGATTAGACATAATAATTATATTATTGTGGGTTGAAAACCCTATGTACTCACCAGGTTTCCCAACCTGACCCACTCAGTTTATTTGAATCACAGGTGCCGATACGAAGTTACATTACTCTGAGAGATTAAAGAGGTGTAGATCACTAGTGTAATTGAATGTAAGTTCTGTTTATGCTTATGTTTCTGTATTGACAATGACATCCCAAATGTTTTAAAATGAATAAAAATACTTTTCTTCGGAAATGCCTTGATAACATATTTATCATGTTTTACTGGGAACAAATTCCACAACATTTTTATTAAAAGAGGTACTCTGATTTTTATAAAGCATAAACAAAATCGGTCTTTTTCTTGCCGTGAAAATGGGGATGTCACATCATATGATTGATGATCTTCATTACATAAATATGCAACATTTTATCAATAACTTCTTTTTTGTCATTTAAATGTTTACATAAACACATCCATATGTACAAAAACAATCTCACTTTGATACCTCCCATCAATGTCTACATTTGATAACGAATGGAAATATAAAACCAACAGGGACTTGCAAAGGATGCCTATTATCAATTATTTTATAAACAGCAAAACCACAACATGAACTAAGAAACTGAAGTTGCAAAATGAATAAAAAATCAGCACATAAACAAACACATACAGACTATATACAACACATAAACGGAAGCTTATAAAACATGAAACTTAATGACAGGAAAAGTAGAAAACTTAAAGGAGACTTTATAGAAAGAAAGATCGCCCTTACTTGCCACAAATGGTTGAAAACATCAACAAGAAGATCAATCTGACCATGGAATCCACATGTTGTCTGATCATGACTTCAGCGGTTCATCTACTGAAACGTAAGAAATGCAATTGAACTCTATTAGCATTTGAAAAGGGAATTAGGGTTTCAGAGAAGACGACAACGGGTTTAAAATTTTTTTTTGGACCATTTCTCGATTTGTGCGTGTCATCCTTGCGCATGGGCCATGCTAATCTTCTCTATATCGTACCAATTTTATCAGATGTCCCCGAAGGGACAACTATAGATGAAGAGCTTCGCCATATAGACGATTTGTTCTTCTTCTGGTCGATATGGGACAACGCGAGTTCTAAACGAACTAGTTTACTGTTGATGGTCATATATTCTTAATGTCTTTAAAATTAGGGTTAATGACTTAGGAGGGTAATTAGGTTTCCAGTTTGTCCGTATTGGTCTGATACGCACAAAAAAAACTTTAGTGACCTAATAAAGACAAACTAGAAACCTAATTATCCTTTTAGAAAATGAAAGTGGTTACCATTAAAGTGTAAACAATCCCTAATGGTGAATGGTGCATATATATGCTCAAGGAGAATAACTCTCAACGTGATAAACACCCAAAACCCAACAAAGCTAAAACACAGCCATGAATGTAGAAGAAGAAGTTGAAAAACTCAAAGTAGAGATCCAAAGACTCGGCAGTAAGCAAGACGATGGCTCTTACAAGGTAATTTTCTTTTCCCCTCAATTTTCGGAGAAAATTCCTCTAAATCCGCCTCATACTTCTGGATTTACATAATAATGTTTCATATTGCAAAATTGGTATGGATCTAGTCTCATACCTCTGACTATCGCCGATCTGTGATGAATTTCGTTCGCGATCTAATACAGTATTGAACAATCCGATAATTTAGGGCTTCGATCTATATCATGAGCTGAAATTGGCCATGTTTAAAACCTTGAGATTTAACAATCTACCAATGGATATAAGATCCCGAGCAGCCGAGCTCCTGATGTTTTGCAATTCGATCTTGTCATATCTGTTTCTCGACAATAAAGTTCGATTTTTCATCCGACTTATTGTCATTAAATGTGTTGAATGTTGATGAAGGTGACATTTGGTGTGCTCTTCCACGATGATAGATGTGCGAACATATTTGAAGCATTGGTTGGGACATTGAGAGCAGCGAAGAGGCGTAAATTATTGACATATGATGGTGAATTACTTCTTCAAGGTGTTCATGATAATGTTGAAATTGTTCTCAAACCCACTCCCACTCCCACTCCCACAGCAGCAGTATAATCGATCGCTTCAAATGTTTTTATCACTGTTTTCTTGTATCATTTATCATAATTTGTGTTTGTAACTTTGTATTGTAACCTTGACATTGTGATCATCATCATCATATGGCTACATAATCTGTGCTTCAAAACTGATCAAATTTCAATCTGTTATCATCTTGTTGTATACTCGGAACAACTTTTGAAAATTTGTCATTTAAAATCAAGTTTTTTTTTTTTATCTTGTACTTTGTCATGGTTTCCATACTTATATCAAGATTCCACATACAATTTTTTTTTGGAAAGAATTGCTATAAGCAAAGAAACTGAAAATCCAAAGGTCTGGTATTTTGAATTTTGTCACACATATATTGTTTGGTAAAAATGAAATGAAAGTCAGATACATTCTTTTGTATATATCTATTCGATTTATAATTATGTAAAAGCCAAATTCCGTTAACCTTATTATATTTTGTAACATATTTTGTTTTTTTTTTCTTAGGATGTCTAAACTGAACAAATCCCAAACTATAGAATTTAAAATTGTATATAATATTTTAAAAAATATACATCAAAATCTAAATGGTTAAATAATAATAAAGAAAGTTAAACCCAAAAAATCCAAACTAAAACGGTTTTTATAAATTTGGGCATTTCATAAATCGCAAACTTGTCCTTTTATTAACCTTTTGTTGGCAGACATTTTTAAATACTTGTACAAATACTAAAATTGACTTTTTAATAATTCTTTGTTCTTCAAGAAAAAAAGAAATCAAATAGTTACTAGTTAATGAATAGTTATGTAAATTTAAAGAGGGATGAAAGAATAAAAACTTAATTACATAAGTTTTAGCATGGTTCTTAAAAGGCTGGCGACTATTTATTTTAAAATTTTGATTCATTCATAAAAATTATATGTTTTACTAATTTATACAATGTAAAGATGTTATACCCCATATAAACGAATCAACTTTTTAAGTCGAAGAATTACATCGCTTCCAAAAATATGTCATGGCAGCACAAAGGCATAACATCAATGTCCAAAAAAAAATTTGCAAGGCATATTTTTTTGCATAAAACCTTTGAGTTTTTATATTTATTTGTTGTTAGTAATTGTTGATATTACACTTTTAAAAATCTATTGTATTTGATGTAAATCTACAATTATGTTATATATTTTTTATTATATGTATTCAAGTTGTTCAAGATAAGTGTAATTGCATAGTATACATATCTATGTATATAATATAATTATAAATCTTACAAATAACAGTAAAAACATATATATATATATATATATATATATATATATATATATATATATATTAGAATATTAGATACTCGCATATACACCGCTTGATTAAGCCATAAGTCAGTTGATAGCTTATAAGCCAGCTGACAGAAAATGACGTTTGATAAAAATTAGATAATAAGCTAGCTGAAAGAAATAAAATGATATAAAAAGACATTTAGAAAAATATATTTTTTATAATTAATTAAAGATATATGTGAGAAGTTTTAGAAAAATTCCTTAAAGGCTAATCAAAATAGTTTTTTTTTTTTTAAAAACTAACTTATTAGCTACTTTTTGGTTTGTTAAACTTAACAATTTAAAAAAGTTCGAAAAATAAACTAGCTTTTCAGTTAACTTCTACTTTTCAATTAGCTTCTTACAGCTTTTAGAACTTTGATTTTAGCAAAGATCCTACATCGTATTTCATAAATTCTATTTCACGAATTCCAACAAGATTTAATTCCCCTAACACTTTTACAGCCAAACAAAAGAATTTACCAGAGTCGAATTCCAATTCTCCTATAAATTCCTCTATTTCGCCTACAAACAATGGTATACTCCTACATACTACATACAAACCAAAAGATTGTGCACGCATTTCTAAAAGAACTCACCCATATAAAGATCATGAACCCACCAAAACCACATAAAAAACACAATACAAATACATCCTATCCATTTACAACAACACACCAATTAAAAAAAACGTACATGACAACCAAACAATGTCACGTGATGATGTTCCCATGGTTAGCCTTTGGTCACATGCTCCCATTTCTCGAACTCTCCAAAAAACTAGCCTCACATGGTATCAAAATCTCATTCGTTTCCACCCCAAAAAACCTCAAAAGACTACCCTCAATTCCCACGAATCTTTCAACCAACATCAAACTAATCGAAATCATATTACCAAAAGTCAACGGTCTACCTGAAAACTGTGAAGCCACCATTGACATCCAACAAGAAGAAACACCTTATTTAAAAAAAGCCCACGACAACTTACAACAACCATTTGAAAAAATACTCGAAAACGATCCACCGGATTTTATTTTTATAGATTTTTCTTCATTTTGGGTCCCAAAAATTGCTGTCAAGTTCGGGGCGAAAACCGCCTTTTTTAGTGTGTACACTGCCGCCACTCTGGCGTACATAGGCCCACCGGAGGAGCTGAGGTGGGGGCATAAACGGAAAACTCCGGCGGCATTCACAGTGGCGCCGGAGTGGTTTACTTTCCGTTCCACGGTGGCTCACCGGCCAGATTATGCTCCGACGATGCTCCGGAACTTACACGTTCCGGATGCATCCGGAAAGTCAAGCGGTCAACGAATAAGTCAAGTAATCGAAGAATCCGAGTTTGTAATAATTCGAAGCTGTAAAGAGTTTGAAGGGGAGTACATCGATCTTCTCGAAAAGCTTTACGAAAAGACGGTTTTGCCCCTGGGGGTACTTCCACCGGAGAGAAAAAAAGAGGATGTAATCGAGTCAACTTGGTTGACAACTTTTAAATGGTTAGACGCGAAAAGGGCAAAATCGGTACTTTTTGTCGGATTCGGGAGCGAGTATAAAATGCCGGTTGAACAAATCCATGAGTTGGCCCACGGAATTGAGCTTTCGGGGGTTTCTTTCATTTGGGTTTTGCGGAAGCCGAAAGAGGTGGGTAGTTTGGACATTTTACCTAAAGATTTTGAAAGTAGAGTCTCTGAGAGGGGGGTAATTTGTCTTGGGTGGGTCCCACAAATGGAGATATTGGCGCACCCTTCAATCGGAGGGTGTCTTTTCCACTCGGGGTGGGGGTCGATTGTTGAGAGTTTAGGGTTTGGGCACCCGTTGATTCTTATGCCTATGGTGGCCGACCAAGGGCTTAATTGTAAATTGTTGGTGGAAAAGGGAATTGGGTGTGAAGTTGAGAGAAATGAAGATGGGTCGTTTAGGAGAGAGAAGGTGGCGGAATCGGTGAAGTTGGTAATGGAATCGGAAAAAGGGGAATGGATTAGAAAAAAGGGTTTGGAAATGAAAAATGTATTTGGGGATGAGAGTCTTCATGAGGGTTATATTAGTTCGTTTGTAAGCTACCTAAATAAGTTCAAAACAACCTTATAATATATTTATCCTTTCAATCCAAGCATAAATGTATTTTTAAAAAAGTAATAAAAATATTATAATTTTATTTTCCCCATAACTTATATATACATTAAAAGTAATTGTGGTGCCATTATTCCTCCATTAAGTAACATGTAGTCTACTTTATAGCTACTGTACATGAAATAAATGCAGCATTGCTACAAAATGCCATGGCTGCATTTGTCGATGGAAAAGTGGCTACAGTGAATAAAGGTCAAAGCAAAGTGGTAATACACTTTACTCATCCACTCATATGACTCCATAGGGGATGGAAATCATCTCACACTACAAAAGGGTAAACCAAAACTTTGATCAGAATATGATAATAGTGATTTTGAGAATATCCCCTAAAAACAATTGAAGTTTAAAAAGCTTACCTGTAAATCCGATTCGATGTTAAAACTTCTTTTGTGAAAACTGTCTTAATTCTGCAGCCTTAACTGATTAAAGAACACCAAGAAATGATATTCAGGTGCCCAATATACAAATCCAACAACAGGACCTCCTTTAATATACTGCAAAAACATCAATAAAAGACAAGATTCCAGAATTAATAACTATTTCACAAAAAACAAAAAAAAAAAACTACATATTATAATGAAGATAGAAGAAAAAAGTGAGACCTTTCCATCAAGAATTACAAGTTCGCCATCAACCCATCTGGGATTTTGAAATCCCGGATCTGCAAGCCTACCTTGTCCTCGATATCGAGCAATCTGAATAATAAAATAAAATACAAATTAAGAATTTAAGATATAAAGTATAGAATTAAGGAATTCCATAGTTTGAATTTATAAAAACTTGCCACTCCAAATTCTTCAGGAATGATCCCTTTATGAGGAAGTTGATACTTTGTTCCAACTTTTGCACGAAACGCCACCTGTCACAATAAAAAAAAAGTGAAAAAAGAAATTGAGGATGAAAAGTTTTACATGTTTGTTTACCTGTCCAGCTGGCACATAAGCATCCCCTGTTAACTTAACAGCTTCTACATATTCATAAAACTCAAGATTTGAAAGCTCTTTCATGCTGCCTTCTTCTTTCCACTGACCAAATTTACGCCTTAATTGAATCACTTCTGAAGTGTAAAGCCCATGTGAACCAACGTACAATGCTAAAAAAGTATTTATAATTTAGTAAGAATAAATTATAAAATAAGATAATGAATAAAATAGAATGGATGATACCATTTAATGGATCTTTATTTGTTGGAAGCTCAATTCGGTTAAATGTTGTGGATCCAGATAAAGGTTGACGATTTTTAGCACGGGTAAGTGTAAGATTAATCAACTGCCCAACATCTTTAAGCACCTGTAAAAATGTTTTATAAAAATTATATATTTTGACAAAAAGTCAAAAATACCCCTCTTGTTTTACCCTATTTCAGTAATCTGACTGACCTTCATGGGTATCTTTCCTTTTCCAATTGACTTGGCAAGATCAAGCATGATGCTGTCTGTGCTACGATTACCATGGATTTTAACATCTTTTTTCTTTAAAGATTGTGAATTACCAGAGGACACCTGTTGTTTTTCTTTCTCTAAAAAAAAGGAGAATGACGAACGTGTCCTTTTCTCTAGCTTAGCTGGCACACGGATCAAATCTTTACGAGGGGTATTACTGGAAATCTTTTGTACCAAGCCACCAACTACAATCTTGACTGCAATTTGACTTTTTCCTTCATCAAGATTGTCTTGTTCTTCACTGATTCCATCTTTTACTTCATCTCCTCCATCTCTGTCTTCCAACTCTTCATCTTCATCATCTTCTTCTTCTTCCTCCATTTGTTCAACCACTTTAGATATCAAATCCCTGTCTATTTTTCCAGGTGTTGTTACATTCAGGACTTTGACTTTTAGATCTTTTGCACCAGGTATCATGTCTCGCAGGATGTTTTCAAAGGCAGATTCTTCAGCCATGTCAGCATCATCATCATCTGTATCTTCAATATCTTTTACAAAAAGATCATCTTTTTCTCCCATTGTGTCTGATGGATTCATGGTGCTAATGAAACCTGATGACTTTGAGGATACAACTGGAAATTTTTGGGGGACTTCATTTCGTTTCAAGTATACAGCCTGGTATTTGTATTCTCCATGCTCATTTGTTGTTAGAAAAATTTCAAACAATGGAGCTCCATCTGCAGCTGTGGCAAGCTGCCTGAAAGTCAAAGAAATGGTCAAACCTTCATCACATACTCTTATAGATAACTAAATAACTTGCTACTTTACCTTGGACTATAACTTCTTGCTAGGTATCTTCCATGCTCTGCACTTATACGGATAATTCGACCATATGGATCTTTGCTATCATCTGAAAGTCCAGCCCACCATCCCACCTAAATTGGGAATCGAATAGTATGATTGTTCAATAAGCAAAAGCATGTAAATAAGTTTGAATGTAATTCAAAATGTTCAAGAACTCACCAGACCTGCACTAGCATAATCTCTTACAAATGCTGCATCCATGTATCGTTCTTCCTCTATAGCTTTCTGCAAAGTTAGAAAGGTCGACAGATAAGGAATTCATGGCTGTAAATGTGATAATCCTTGATTTAAAGAATAACAACATTCTCTTACTCTCATGTAAGACATCACTCTGCCAACAGTGTCGTTAGTAGCAGCAGCTGCAATTGCGACCTTAATCCTGGCAGCATCGTCATAATCCTCTTTGGCAATAGCACGATTTAGATGTGACTGTGATGATGATATACATATCAATGTATGAAGGTTATTGTAGCAAGAGTTATCATCTTAATCTCTGATACTATGTTCTCCTATTAGTTTACAGAAGTACCTTCAATGTAGAAACGATACGTTCCTGCTCATCGACATCAGTGAAATGCTTCTGCCAGCGTTCCCAATCCCATTCTGTATCGCCATCTCCATCCACCACGACCTCTCCTTCTATCTTCACAACACCATCACCAGAATCATCCTTCTTCAATTCATCGTCTTTCATCTGATACTTCCGATATCCAGTCATGTAATCCTCAAACCACTTAATCGCATTCCTGACATTCTCTTGCAAAACCGAGTCCCATCGACGATTATCTTTATCGTTATCGTTGTTGTCACCGATATCTCTGTTACTAACGCAACGACAGACGGATAAAGGATCGGAAACCCTAGATAGAGAGTGAGAAAATAGATTCGTTGAATAAGAGGAACGGTGGTTCAATCGGCTAGTTGTGGTAAACTTAGGGGTTGTGTAGGTGAATTTGTGAGGGCTTGTAACGGAGCTACCGGCGGAAGAACGGAACGTCGGCGGTGATATTGACGCCATTAATGAGAGCTAGAGACGATGGTATCGTCGAATTTGGTTACACAATAGGGGCAGCACAGTGATGATACGAAGATGGGGTTAGGTTTTTCCAGAATCGAAATTGCTGATATCCGATTTGATGTACGATTTTTGATGCACGATGTACAAATGTTACTGCATGATTGCTCTTAGTCTATGAGCATCCAGGAGCGGATAGAGATGCTGTGGGTTTATGACCGGTTTTTCTTTCATATGTTGTCATAGCCGATAACCGGTCTATCGATAACATGTTTTTTGTGATTTTAAATTAAAAAGTGAGTGTAGGAATTTTGACAAAATATCTGTCTATCTAGAAAGTGTTAGATTATAGGTATAATTGTAAAATTAGTTAGATGGAAATTAGAAACCAATATCTAACCGGTAGATGATAAATAGTAGTTGGAAGTTGTAATTTTTTTTGTTTTTGAACCGGCAAATACAAATATATAATTTACTTGTAAACTAACACATAATTTCACATATGTCCACGACGGGACTTGAACCCTCGACCTCAAAGAGGGAGGGCACCACCTGACACCACTGGGCTAGAAGCCCTTTATTTAGATAAAGTGTTTGATAAAAATAACGGTTAGTTTTTAAATGTAAAAAATTATTTAAAAATAATATTAGAAACTCCGAAAAATTAAAAGTTTCCAAAAGCCATCTAATTCACTCATGATCTCAAATTGAGTTTTTTATTTGAAAATATAAGCTAAAACTCATTTGGTCAAGTCAAACGATTTTTGCTTTTACGTTTTTTTATAAAAGCTAAAAGATAAAAACTCAAAAAAGTTTCCAAAAATTCTGTGTCAAACAAATTGTTAAGGTAAAAACTTTAGCTTTTGAAAGTTGGTTGTCAAATATGGCTATAAACTGTTTCAATCTTCACAATATAGTTCTAACCACCTAGTTCCCTAAACTTTACTCTTGAATATTTAAAATATACATATGAATGTTGTCATTTATCATTATTTACTTTCTAATCCCACTCCTATACATACAAACCAAAACAAAATATAGTCGAACAAGGCTAATTGCATTTTAGAAACCAGATGTTCACTTACAATTTTTTTTTTCTTCATTTTATCGAATCATTTAGTGCTGAATGATACCAATTTTTTAATGATTTAGAGAAAGTAAGGTTTCTTAACCGTTCAAAAGCCATTAGAGCTTTTGATTTGTTCAGAGGTCAATACTAAATCAATCACACTAAATGCTAACTCGTTCAAACGTTACCTTTGAATATTTCCATTAAAAATTATCAAACAACCCTTTTACCCATGTAACATTGATAATTGTTGAAAAAACCTATAACTATATGTTATTAATAATTACAAAGGATATAGGTCCCACTTTTTATTGGATTAAAATAATATTTTTTTAATAATCACATGTTAACATTATCACCAAAGTATCTAATTATTTATTCACTGGTTATTTTATTTGTTTATATTTTTTAGAAACATATAATCAAAAACATAAAATAAATGTGTTGTCATACAAGGGCTGTTTGGCAATAAATTTTTAGGAGCTTTTAAGAACATGTAACTTTTAGCTAAAAAAAATCTCAATTTAATATAAAAAGCTTCATTTGAAAGTACGAACTTAAAAGCTTTTATTTTGGAACAAAAAATGTTTAATTCAAAAGATACTTCAAATAAGGTTAAAAGAAAAAGCTTATGTCTATTATAGCAAATTACTAGGTTGCCCTTAAACACCTATTTTTTTTTTTTTTTCAGATGTCCTTTTATATAATTTTACACATTTCAAAACTTATGATTACTTTTGTCAAACATTTATGCGACAAATAAAAATTCAACTTCCATCTTTTAGCTACCAACTATTTTAGCCAAACATACTCGATGCCTAAAAATCGAAAAGCCTTCAGACCAAGTTGCAAATGTTCAACCAATCAAAAAAAAATCGCTTTAACAACTTTCTCGTTTTTCTTTCAAATTATAATTCTTTTACAAAAATCATCGTGAAATGGCTCAAATAATAGTTACTACTACAATTGAATATGTAAAACGACATTTTCTAATACATAAATCAAATCCAAATCAAGTTCAAAAATCTGTATCACCATAAACAATATGGATACAATATCCAAATGATGTATTTTTTTAAAGTGTTTTTATTCACTTTTTCTTATCCCTCTTTGATGAACTTGGAGTTGGACCTTGAGAAAATTCAGTAAGCCCTTGCCTAAAGGCTCCAAAAGTCACCCCATTATTCACCAAAATACTTGTCACCCCCATTTGTGAAACCTGCATGATGTATTATAAATATATATAAAATGTAAGTTTTTGTTTGTGAGACAAAGGCAATGTAGCTAATAGTGCAATTGTAAATGCACAATGTACAAGTATGTCAATGCATAAAGTGCAACTTTAATCACTCAACTTTGTATAATCTATCACTTGCAACCCTTTTATTTTGAAAAATAATATTTTTCATCCCTTTACTTTTTAAAGTATCACTTTCACCCCTCCACCTTCAACTTTGTAAAATGTTAACTCTTAATGCACAATGTACAAGTTGTCGATGCGTAAAGTGCAACTTTAATCCCTCAATTTTGTTAATCCGTCACTTGCAACCCCTTTATTTTATAAAATGGTATCTTTCATCCCTTTACTTTTTAAAATATCACTTTCACCCCCTCCACCTTCAATTTTGTAAGATGTCACTTTTACCCTTTCTTTTTCTACACTTTTGCGCGTATCCCCCATCCCCGTAGTATATATATAATATGATTTTTACTCCTCTACTTTGAAAAATACATTTTCCACCCATCTATTTTTTTAAATGTTACTTTGACCCCCTGAAGTTTGAACTTTGTAAAATGTCATTGGTTTAATCAATTCTCACTCCTAATACGCAACAAAAACACATAAAAACCAGCGGCAAAGCGGGGGCTCATTTACTAGTTCTCTATAAATAACAACATACTTTCATTTATTTGTTTATTGTAACATCCTAATTTTATTTATTTCTTCTTAAGGCATTGTACTTTAAAAAATCTACCCAATTATAACATTGTACTTTTATCAGTCTTCTTATTAGGACATTATACTTTAAAAAAATCTATCCAATTACACCAATGAAAATAAGATTTTTTAAAGTACAATGCTTTAAAAAGAAAAAATGAAAGTGGATTGCTATAATAAAATAATCAATGAAAGTACCTTGCTATTTCTTGTATTGAACCTTATCAACATTTTCAGAATTGTGTGAATTTCAATATAAGGGGAGTAAATGGAAGAATTTTTACCGCTTCAATATTACGATTTTCATCATCAAAGAAAAGCATCTTATCAAATGGGATTTGAGTCTTTTGTTGGATTTTCTTGAAATGTTCTGTTTTGTGACTCCAACTGGAAAAGATCTCCTGAAACATCAAAAGGAATTGCTATCAATCAAAGGAATTGTAATTTGAAGGATTTAGAATATGAAGGAATTGAATTTTGTCACGTGTTTTTTGTATATCTATGTTTGGTTTGTGATTCTATCATAGGATTTGGAATGTAAGTAACAAGAAATGACATAATTGCCCTTGATTAACATTTCGTTCATGAAACTTTTCTAAATACTCATAAAAGTCATTAAGTCTACGATCATCTTAACTCTTAACAGGCTGCATATGAAGTACTGATAACCAGAATTCATAATCAATGGTTTAAATATGATCATCCAATAAAAGTCTTCTCTTTTGCTATAATTTATTCACACATATTTTCAAAGGATCAAGTTTTCACAAACCTGTGCTACAAACATCGACTTTATGCCCAATTTGTCAAGGAAAGTCTCTGCTATGTCTCTTGTTGGTGATCTGGAGGCAATAGCCATTTTAACTCCCTTGTCCTTTAGTGCATTTAAGATATCTTTACAATGGGGATACATAGATGGCATCTCACGTTTGGATCGACATTCACTAACATTAAAAAAAAAATCATTTGTTTTATATAATCTATATATAACATGAGTAACTGAAGAATTTGATAGAAATGATCACAAATATGTATATAATCAGTAAACAAGTTAGTCTTAAGCATTAGTAATCATGAATCCTTCTTGTGTAATGAATGAATTAACACCATGGAGCAAAATCCAAGGTTTTATGATTCTCTATAAACAAATCATTCAAGTAAATGTACCTAAAACCTTATCATTCATGAAACGAACAGCCCAATTACATCCAACTGAATCACAGTTCGAAGAAATCCCTTCCATTGATATGAAATGAAAAAATCGATGTTAGGTTTGCATGAAAACGTCTCTAGAAACATGTAGGCAAAAATAAATTCCTACTACTTTCTAAATTATGGTCAATATATAAGACATTTATCCAATTAAATGACAGGAACTAACAATTCGTTGAGCTAAAGTGAGGATCTTACATCGGAGAAGGCATGAACAATTAACTGAGCTTTTAGATAAACTATATGCAATTAAGAAACATACTCACAAAAATAAAACTCATGTTTACTTGGATTATAGGTAAGTTGCATAGAATTAGGTTTACTCATCAAAACAGAAGGCAATACTCGAAAATTTACAGTCAAACAATGAAATAGAAATTTGGCGTATTACGAAAGCAAGATTGTAGATATTCATATACCAGTAGAAAGGCCAGAGAGTGTAATCGAGATCGAAGACGACTAAACGAGGCAAGACTTGAAATAATCCCAGGATCTCCATTGCTTCGTTCTTCAGCTTCTCGTCTCCCATGGTCGTCGCTCCTGTTTGCAATTGCAGATGACGACCAATAACGAGTAACGACCCCGAATCATATGTATATATCACCTCTCATTTTACAAGAAACCCCCTCAATATTCATGAGAGTTATCTTTTCGGACCTAAAGCTGTTCAAATACCAAAGCTGGTCCCGATTAAGATTAACACCTTTTACAAAATAACTAGTAATATCATTGTAGATGTGATGTATTTATCGTCACCTTCTTTGTTGTTGGTAATTTTAGTGTTATAGCATATTTCAGTGTATTATTATTATTGTCGAGACCAGACCCGTCCCAGTGGGTGGGCAATAGGGGCGAACGTCTAGGGCCCATCTTTTAAAGGGCCCAATTTTTTTTTATGGAAATTGTTATATTTAGAAGATAGTATAAGTAATTTTCTTTCAATTATTGAGTTATTATAAAAAACTTGATGACATTTGTGTATTTTAAGGGCCCATTTTTTTATCTTGTCATGGACCCAAAATA